GCAGCCCGGCAGTGTGGCGAGGCGGGCGGGCAGCGCTCCGCTCCCGGTGCCGCTGCCGATCCCGCTGCCTCCGCCGCCATGCCGCCGCCCGGCCCCCGCCGCCTCTCCCTCCTCCTCCTCTCCTTCTTCCTCCCCGCGCTGCTGCTCCGCCGGGCGCTGGCCGCCGCAGGTAAGGGGGGGCACAAGTTTGGGGGGGCTGTGAGGTGGGCAGCATCCCCCCAAAAAAGTTCGCTGCGGTTGAGGTGCCCGGCCTTGGGACGCCGAGTTGGTGTTTTTATGTCTTTTTTTCTTTAATATAAAGGTGGAGGGGCTGGCGGGGGGAGAGCCGGGCGCCCTCCGCGCCGTTGCGGGGGGATGCTCCCGGGGAGGATGATGCTGGCAGCGCCCTCCGCGCCGGGGGATGCTCCGGTCCGGGGGGGATGATGTTCTGGGTGGGTGCGGGCTGGCAGCGCTCCTCGCTCCGCGGGGGATGCTCCGCGGGGATACGGGCTGGCAGCGCTCCCCGCTCCGATGCTCCGCGGGGATACGGGCTGGCAGCGCTCCCCGCTCCGGGGGGGATGCTCTGGGGGATGCGAGCTGCCAGCGCCGCTCCCTGCCTCGCCGTGCCGCTTCCTTATATTTCTCTCTCTCCCTGTATATATATATATATATATTTTTTTTTTTTTTCTTGGCAAAAGCAAAACAAACCCAGCCCTGTTTGTAGTAGCGCCGGCTGTGATTCCCCGGCAGGTCAAATAAGTAACTATTCAGCCTGGATTTTTAAATTTTTTTCCCTTTTTTACTGATTATTATTAAATCTGCATTTTTATAAGCTGAGCGATTGATGGCCGGGCAGCCGAGTGGTCTTTTCCTATGGCTGTTCAAAGTTTCCTGTGCGCAGCCCAATCTTGTGATTGAGATGCACTTAAATCCAGCCCTTCCGTTAGCAATCCCTGCCACGGACAAGAAACAGAGGCTCGTCTCTCCTGCTGCCCTCTCTCGTTAGGACTCCTGTGATCAAACTCAGCCTTTCCTCCGTATATTCCCCCCACCACACGCACTCCACAACTCCTGGACATCCTCGGCACTTTGTCCTTTGTCATCCTCCGGCGGTGGCAGAGCACAGCCGCCCGCGTTTATTCTCCGCCTGTAAAAATATGTGCTCCAGTGTAGAGCTCAGAAGGGCAGCCCTGTAAAGTTTGATGGTTTTTTGGAGGCAGGCAGAGACCGTAACCGTGTTGGGCAAGGTCGTTATCCCGGCGGGAATTCGGGATCTGTCGCTCCCGGCAGCTCCCGGCGAGGGTTTGAGGACGCGTCGCGAAGCACAGATCGCTCTTGTTAAGGAGTTGAAAGCGTCTCCTGACGAGCTGATTTTCTAGGAAAATGAACCAAGCCTTCTTTTCTGAAGCGTAATTAAGGTGACGAGGAATTTTAGGGAGGGAGTCTAATTAGATTAATATTTTTTCCGCCTCCGCCACACAAAGATCCAGTGTATTTCTGCAAATGGGGAACAGGAATGGCACTATTGACTTATCCAGGGGCCTGGACCTTGCTGCAGCAGCGTCCTCCAGCCAGAAGGAACTCTCCCTTGGTGGGAAGGGAGAGGTTTGAGAGCTGGCAACTGGTGTGCTCCTGCTTGGCTGGGAGCGGTGCCCTGGGGATGGGCAGTGAGGAGCTCAAAGGCTCTGCACAGCACCGGGGGTTTGGGAAGGCTGGATTAGCCAGGCTGGATTAGCCAGGCTGCTGTGGGTGAGGGTTTAGCCAAGCTTTCCTGGATGCTGAGGGGAGTTGGGGATATCACCGTGTTCGAGCCTGGCTCTGTCCTCTTATTTTTGTGAGTGCCAAGTTCATGCAGGGGTTGAAATAAAACTGGGCAGGAGGGAGGGAGGGAATGAAGAAGGAAAAAAACAAGTTAAACCTGACCCACCTGGCTCAGTTTGAGTCTGGGGAGCTCTCTCAAGGCACTATGCTGTTAATCTGGCATATGTACGTGTGTGTATAATAAAGTTTTTAGCTGGAGAGCTATAATTAGTGTTTTTCCAGGAGAGCTGTGTAGTGGTGGCATGTGATGGTGCAGAGGAGGGAGCTGAGATGGGTGCTCAGCCGGGTGATCATCCGTTCTCTTCCCCATCCTTGTCTGGTTTTTAGGGAGAGGCAGAATTGTTTTCACCCAGAAAACAATTTTCTCTTTCAATAACAAAGAATGCACATGTTGTTTGTGTCGGGTTTTGCAGTGTGGGGGTAGAAGTGTGGTTTTGGATGGGGGTTTGAAACCAAGAAACCATCTGGTCCACTCATCCATCCCCAGGAGCACTGCTGGGGGAACACAGCTCCCAGCGTGTCCCTGAGCCTGGGGCTTTACCTGGCAGGCTGCTCTCCAGGCTTCATCCTGCTCCTCTGGGAAGGAAAACAATTTGGGGTGAGGATTTGGAGCTTGCTTGAGGGTCTTTCCCCACGGGGCTGCACAGAGGCTGTAGGAGGGCAGCTGAAATCCAGAGGATGACGCTGGAAGTGGGGACTCGGCTGACAGAGGTGTTTTTGGACAGCTGTCATCCTGCTGAAGGAGCATCCTTCCATCCTTCTGCCCTGCCAGCAGCAGGAAAACACCCAGGGACAGGGGGTGGAGCGGGGATAGCAGCACTGCTGTCCCCCAGCAGCATGAGGACATGGGTGGCAGGAGGCTGCCTGCCTGCTGCCAGCGTGAGCAGATGGCTGGGGAAGAAATGCTCCAGGACCTGTTGCCTATCAAATCCTGCCCTTTGGAAGTGGAGGCTTGAGGACAGGGGTGTGTGGAAGGATCTGCTCGGGGCTTTTTTTATCTCCTTCACCTGCTTTGTTGTAGAACCCTCTCTCTCTCCCTCAGAAGCTGGTGCTCTCTGTGCATGGTAGCAGCAGAGGGAAATACTGAAACAACAACAAAAAAAGAAGAGAAATGGAAAAAAGACTACTTTAGAGGGGGCAGAATTGCTTGGAAATGGTAGTTGTGGGGGGCAGGGAGGAAATCCAGCTTGCATTTACTCTGCTTAGAAAGCAAAAGCTGACCCTGTAAGGAGCTTGGAGGGTTCAGCTGTGTCCTTCATCTCTGTATGGTCCCCTGGGTCCCTGGGGTGCTGTAGATGCTGGTTCCCTTTCCATCCCTGTCCTAGTCAAACGGGAATGATATATATAAAATATGTAAAAACCAGATCTGTATTTTGGGTCAGTTAAGTGAGCCAAGATGCTGCAAGGAACTCTGTTTCCCTTCCAATTGCAGCAGTGGCATCCCCATGGCTTTCTCCCTCCCATTGGGATAATCCTCACAGCCCTGTGGGGTTTTGGTAGAGTGCTGAGCTGGGCTTTGCTGGGCAAAGCCAGGCTGGCAGGCCAGTGCTAGGCCAGGAATGCTGTGAGGTGAGGACAGAGGGGGCTGTGTGGAGTCTGAGGAGTTCATTACGGCAGATGTTGGTGCCATAAAGCCACAGGTTCCTGCTGTTTCATATTCAGTTATATCTGCCTGGCTTTAGCGATGCTAATGTGAGTGAAAACATTTCCTGGAGGGGCTGGGGGGGGGAGATAAAACATCAGCCCATTCCCTCTGCCCCCTTCCTGCCATGCCACCCGTGGGAAGGGGGGATTGACAGGGGTGCAAGGGATGCCTGAGCCGCTCAGTGGCTGCCATCAGCTCCTCTGTGGCAGTTGGAGGCCCACTGGCTCCAATTTTGGTTTTCCATAATCTGCAAAGCTGTAATTTGCTGTAATCAGTTGTATTGTGCAAGCCACCCCTGCCTGTGAGTCAGAGCACGGTGGCACCGAGCTGACACAGCCCTCCCTGGCCCTTGGGATGCTGGGCTCTGTGCAAGGGATCTGGGTCTGCTGACAACGGAGTCTTATCCCTCCTGGAACTGGTCGGGACCAGGTGGGATTGGGTCCTGGTCCAGTGCAAGGTGTCCCTGCCCGTGGCAGTGGGGCTGGAATGAGATGAACTTTAAGGTCCCTCCAACCCAAACCAGTCTGTGACTCCCTTCTGCTCACTTTGGGCTGAGGGGAGTCTGGGTGATCCTGCCCTGGCTCTGTCAGAGCTCAGGACCTTAAGGAAATGTTGTGTGAGCTGTTTCTCCAAAAAGCAGAGCCTTTGTGGTGAACCAGAATCAGTGAACCAGCAGCTTCTGAGTGATGTCTCCCCTCACATTAGGCCGGAGCAAATCCTGTGTGACCTGCAGCGGGCCTGGGAATTCACCTTGGGCTGAGGGGAGCCTGGGTGATCCTGCCCTGGCTGTGCCAGAGCTCAGGAGCTTAAGGAAATGTTGTGTGTGTTGTATCTCCAAAAAGCAGAGCCTTTGTGGTGAGCCAGCAGCTTCTGAGTGATGGCTCCCCTCATGTTAGGCTGGAGAGAATCCTGTGGCCTGCAGTGGGGCTGCACTGGGGCTGGGAATTGAGCAGCTCTGGCTGGGGAGAGGCAGAGAAAGCCCAGAGAAAAGCCCAGAAAGCCGCTCTGATGCCTGGTTTCACACCCTTGCTCCCTGCCCGGGACTCTCTCGGTGGCAGCCTGGAGGCCCCTGGCTGGCTGCAGCACCTCCTGAATACTCCCTGAATCCTCCCTCTCCGTCCCCGCAGCCCTGCAGGCCTGCCTGCATTTGCTGGCATTTTTACTCTCAGTAAAAATCTCACTGCTGGAGTGTGGGCTCGCTGTGCTCTCCTGGGCTCCCTGCACGGAGGGCGATGCCGTTCCTCAGGGTCGCAGCTGGCATAAAGCATTTCTGACCCCCTTGGGGAGCAAAGCCCTCGGACGGGGCAGCCCGCAGAGCAAAGCATCCCAAATGCTGCACCGAGAATTATTTTTGAAGCCTCCTGGTTTTTCGGAGGCCTGACTCACGGCACAGGAATGCGCTGGGCTGGCAGCCCCAGACCTGCTCCTTAGCGAGGGGAAGAGCTGCTGCCGTCTCCTCCTCCTCCTCCGGAGCCCGTTCCCCATCCCAAACCGCTGGGCTGGGCTGGTAGCAGCCACGTGTTTGCTGAGCTTGGATTTTTAGGGGATTTTTTTTTTTCATCCCTCTCCTATTTGCTTTTTTTTTTCTTTTTTTCCTTTTTTTTTTTTTTTTTAATTTTTATTGGGCTCAGCACCTCTGCCGAGGGAAAGGCAGAGATCAAACGCCAGCCAGGCTGGGAAAAGCTGGGTGAAGCCACGCTGGAAAACGAGGAAAGGGAAGGGAA